TTAGAAAAAAAGATAGATGTGTTCAAGTACCTCAGTCTAATGAGACTGCCTGTCTTATAAAACTTTTTCACTAAGAAACAAAACTTCGTGGACAAACATTTATTTAGATATAAAAGGGCAGCAAGTAATTGAGAGCTAAATATTCTTGTACTTTAAAGAATTCTTACACTGACAAAAGAAAATGATTATAATTACTGTGAAATATTTGGGCTGAATTGAGGTTAACATCGACAATTATCTGACTAAATGGGCATGCCTTAGAGCATCATAGTATCTGGAAAATATTAGTGGCAGGTAAAAGATAAGGGAGAACTTGTGAAACAGAGAGAAAGGGGGTTAGACAATGTTGTGTCTAAGCATTTAAGACAAATCAATTGGAAGATATATGTAGGGGAAGATGAGGGGAGGAGGGAGGAAAACTTCATTCAGAAAGTGGATTTTCTAAGCTATCCTTGTATGAAGGACAAGGTGCCATGGGATCCCTGTTGATATTTAAAGAGTCATTTGCATCTTAAAGATTTTCCCTTATCTCTTGATCACATCTCATTTTTCTGTTGGTTGCAAAATTTATTAAGAAATAAAGAAAGTAAATTCACTAAAGAAGCAAGGCAAGCAATTTTGTCAAAATATGTCCGGCTTATGAAACACAGATGGACTTCCCAGCTAGTCTGAGAAGCCCTATCTTGTAGAGGTTTGGCTTTTTATACTTTTCTGTCTACAGGTTTTAAATTTCCTCTGCCAGATATCTTGGTACAGGCTAGCTCTCAAGGGCTTCCTTTTATTTTGTTTATGGCTTTCCCAGAATTTATGAGTAGCATTTGGCGATTTTATCTCTAACAAGCCCCGAAACTGCTGGCTTCTCTGTTTAAACAGTGAGGTGAAAACTCCCTCTTTACTCCCTCTTCCCCAAGATGGTTGACTTCTTTGTTTAGTGGGTGAGATAAACTCTCTATTCTTCCCTTCTCCCTGCCTCATGCCTTAGCAGTTCCAGGGTGATTTAAACTATGTATTCCTTCCACTCCTAGGAACGTATCCTAAGAATCCTGAAACATTAGTCAGAAAGAATATATGCACCCCGATGTTCATAGCAGCACAGTTTACAATAGCTAAGATCTAGAAACAGCCCAAGTGCCCATCAATAGATGAGTGGATAAAAAAGCTGTGGGACATTTACACCATGGAATACTATGCAGCTATAAAGAAGAAGGATCTCGTACCCTTTGGCACAGTATGGATGGGCCTGGAGAATATTATGCTAAGTGAAATAAGCCAGGCAGAGAAAGACAAACATCACATGATCTCACTTATATGTGGAATCTAAAGAACTTAATAAACTGATGAACAGAATAGATTCAATGACATGGAGGCATGGATCAGACTGACGAATGTCAGAGGGATGGAGGAGGGCAGATGAGTAGAGGGGGAGAGAGTAACCAAGGAATTTATATGCATATATGCACAACCCAAGGACACGGACAGTGGTGGAGAGAGGGACTGGGGAGGGGGGTAGGATGGGGTGGAATGGGTCATTGGGGAGAAAAAGGGACATCTGTAATATTTTAAACAAAAATAAAATTTAAAGAATTAAAATAAAAAATAAATAAATAAATAAATAAATAAATAAATAAATAAATAAATAAATAAACTATGTATTCTTTGGTTAGGGAGGAGAGACATTGACAATTTTTTCTTAAGCATCCTTGGTTGGGAAAGATAAGATCTTGCTGCAAATTGTCTGCAAGCTGCCCAAACCGTTGGGCCTTGTTTAATTTTCTTGTCTGTTTCCCTATTCCTCTTGCCCTGGAATTTCCCTAGCTTCTTACTATCCTGTTTCAAGATGAGTGGGAGTTCCAGAGTAATTGTGTGAGAAGCTTGGTGGATCTTCTCTCTTTTTAAAAATACATCTTTATTGATTTTGGAGAGAGGGAGAGGGAGAGAGAGACAGAAACATCAATGATGAGAGAGTAGTCAGTGATAGACTGCCTCCTGCATGCCCCCCACTGGGGATCGAGCCAACAACCCTGGCATGTGCCTTGACTGGGAATTGAACTGGTATCTCCTGGATCATAGGTCAATGTTCAACTGCTGAGCTACACCCGACCAGGAGGATCTTCTCTTTAGTGAGCAATTATTTAACTGATGAAAATTTTAAAAAATTAATGTCTCTGGAAATTTATCTAAGGGCATACAACAAATGGAGAAACATTTATCCAAACAAGTGTTCTAAATCTTACTAAAAGCTAAAAGAAATTGTGACATTTGAACTACAACATATCCTTTCCCCCAGGTAGGTCTGTGTTACTTTCTGTATTCAGGACAGATATGGTCAATACGAGTGGGTTCATTCAACACTAAGATCCCAGACTATGCTATGGTGTCATTTAAGTAAGGACAGACCTCATACTTACCTACTTTTCACCTAACTGTCTGCTATGAAAATTATGTATTATGTAGACAGAGACAAATTTATTCATCCCACTCTCACTCAAAGGGTGAGAGTTATGCCTCAGGCACAATAGGCCTAGAATACTGAGTTGCCAATTTTGTTTGACCCAGTTTGATGTAGAGCCACTGTTCTATGACAGGAGGGGCAGGTTAAGAAGACCATATTCTACCATCTTCCTCTTGCATCAGTTGGTGGAGTGGTGATAACACTCGGATAGAGAGATATGCTTTCTACACCTATGGCTCCTATGTAGTAGTAAAGATGTTCTGCCAGGAAACAGGTCATAGGAAGAGCTCTTCCTGAGTAGACTGACTTTATTTGGTACACAAAATGGAGAAGTACATGAATAAGGGTATTGTTGAAAATATGTAGATTTTGGTGTCAAGCATTTAAGAGAAGGCTGTCAACTCCATGAACCTAATAACAACAAGCAAAATGAAAGACCACCAGAAGTTTAACTAAGAGACCAGATGAAGAGACAGCCAACAAGATCCCTCCTGGATCCCACTCACCACTGTGTGTCTAGAAGGCTGGGTATGAGTTCTAAGGTGCACGTACTCAGTAGCAACCAAAGTATCATAGTCAGGGGCCTGCAGGAGGCAGCCAATCAATGACTCTCTCATCATTGATGTTTTTTTCTCTCTCCCTCTCCCTTCCTCTCCCTGAAATCAATAAAGATATATTTAAAACAAAACAAAAACTCATTTTTTTCTTAAATTATGGATTTTTAAAAAATTTATCTTTATTGTTGTAAGTATTAGAGATGTCTCCTTTTTCCCCCATTGACCCCTTCTATCTCACCCCAACCTGCCCCAGGCCTCCACCACACTATTTTCTGTGTCCATGGGTTATGCATATATGCATATAAGTTCTTTGATTTATCTCTCCCCATCCACCCACTCACTCCTGCCTTCCCTCTGAGATTCATCAGCCTGTTCCATGCTTCAATGTCTCTGAAAAGCAATGGAAGAAATATTCTTGGGTAAGGATTTTTTTTTTAAGTAAACTAAAGACAAAGAAGGTAATTTTATGTTCTGTTTTTAAATTCCAGGAACTTGCCTGGGCCAGTGGTTGAGCATCCACCTATATGATCCAGGAGATCTTGGTTCGATTCCTAGTCAGGGCACATGCTCAATCCCCAGCAGGGGGCATGCAGAAGGCAGTCAGTCATTGACTCTCATCACTGATGTTTCTGTCTCTCCCCCTCTCCCTTCCTCTCTCTCTGAAATTAATAAAAATATATTTAAATAAATAAATAAAGTCCAGAAATTTGAAGATGCTTATAGACTGAAGGTAAAGAATAATGAATTTGGCAAGATTGAACAATAAGAAGAAAAAGAAATAATTGAAGCTGCAAGGACTTCAAAGCTCTCAATAATAATGATTATAAGGAAGGGAGGCAGATAATGAACACTTGATTATAAATTATTTTCTGAGTATTTAATGCCTTTCTGGAGAGCTATGTTCAATAAAACCCAATAATTTCTAGGTCTAATTTACTATCTCATGGTAAATTAACTCCTTTCTCCTTCTGCTGTGACAATTTGTACTTTGATAGCTTGATAACTATTTGATTTTTCTCTGTGTTCTTTTAAGGAAAGGCATTTGTCAAAGTGCCATATCTTTCTTAATTAGCTGAGGCCCTAAGCTATCTGGAAATAAGCTACCTATCAACATTCACCTGGTGCCCACCAGCCCACTCCCAGCATGCAATGAACCTTCTTCTGACCCTTCCTTTGATGTCCTAGATTGCCAGCCCCTGGATCACACAATGTTCTTGGACTTTCCTGGCAGGCTTCCAAGCTCACCTCCCAGCTCCAGCTATGTCTGGATGGAAAACAAATTTTTATAGAAAATGTCAAAGCACCACTGAACATTCTGCCCTTAGTGTTCCCTAAGGGATTTGTGTTCATAAATTTCACTGCTTAGCAATGTAAACCATACTTCCAAAGCTTTTCTCATGATCAAGAAGGCAAGACTTCCAAGACAAGAAAAATCAGTAAATTTTGGATTCATGACCAGAGATGCTAAAGATTCCAAACCAGTGAGGTTTAAGTAAATGGAGCAATCATCAATAACCAGCACACACCCAATGACTCTAAGATTTCCCTGTCAGTTTTCAGGGTGCTGGGAGAGTTTTATTCCCAGATGCCACTTGTCCCAGCAACTTCAAAGGAGAAAAAACCTGAACCTAAGTAAACCTAAGTAAAGTGACTACTTTTCCTCTATAAATGTCACCTTAGCCAGGAACCGTAAGACAATGATTTTTCAATGGAATATCTCTCCTGCCTTCACCCAAACTTCTCCCTTTCTGTAAGTGCTATGCACCCTACTGTGGTTGCCCACATCCTGTCAATATTTAACAAATGTACTTTGAATAACAGATAGTCATGTTCGTTGCATGCTGTCTCCTGATATGAAGGCTCACAGGAACACAGAAATGTTCTTGCTACTGAAAGGTTCAATAATCAGACAGTGACCTACCTCCTGAGTAATAAATATATAAAGAAGTTCTCTTCATTTTAGCTACTGATTCTAAGTAATGTATTCAACCATGAGGGTCTTGCTTTGCATCCTTGAGGTCCTTGCCTTGTTGTCCACAGTTCCTCCAGGTAAGACAGAAACCTTTCTTTCCAGAGTTATGAAAATACTAGGTTTTCCGAGAGTTTGAAAATAAGTTAGACAAGGGCAGACTGTACCATACAATGAAAAATGTTAGAGGTGTGAGTTGACTGCTCACAGGAAAGGATTGTTGATGCTACTACATCTATAAGGTGGTGCCTTTCAGTGATTTAACTTATTATGAAATCTAACTTGCAGTTGTGCTTGATCCAAAGATGGTGGAAAGATGTTTGCAGAACATACATACACACACAAATAGGAGGAATTGAAAAAATGGAAAGTGAGTGATGATTTAAAAAAGGACCAGGGGTAAAGAGGAGGCCACTCCATCATAACCTGTGATTCACAGAACATTCTGATCATTAATCTAGGTAAGGGGTAAAAACCTAAGTGGAAATTACTATGTGTATAGTGGGAGCTAAGATTCTACCTCAACAATTAACAAAATTAATTTTCCCAAATTAATTTTAAAATCCACCAATACTATATAATAAATACATATTAACCTAATCTTTGGACTTATAACTGGGGTTTATATTATCATCTATTGTCTTATTTATCTCATATTATTATCTATTGTCTTATGTATATACTACCTTAGAACACATTTTAATACCTAGCAATTCAAAATTTTCTTCATTTTTCTTGGTTTTTTATATTTATTGAGATAAAATTCACTCTTTTAAAGTGTACCATCTCAGTGGTTTTCTGTATATTCATAAAGTAATGCAACTATCACCACTATCTAATTCCAGAACATTTCATCACCCCTAAAAGAAACTCCATATTCATTAATTCCCCATCTTTCCCTCCCCTCAGAACCTGGCAACCACTATCTGCTTTCTGTCACTATCAGTTTATCTTTTCTGGACATTTAATATAATCATACAATATATGACCCTTTGTGTCTGTTTTCTTTCACTTAGCTTAATGTTTTTCAGAGTTCACCCATGTTGTACTATGCTTAATATTTAACTCCTTTCAACTGATAAATAATAATATTCTAGTAAACAGATACTACTATGTTTTATTCATCTATTCATCATTGATGGACATTTCCATTGTCTCTACTTTGGAACTATTATGAACGATGTGGCTATGAACATTTATGTCCAAGTTTAGCATGGACACATCTCCAATTTTGGGGGGTAAATATCTGGGAACAGAATTGCTGTGTTATATGAGTAACTCTGTGTTTAACTTATTGAGAAATTGCGAATGTTCCACAGCTGCAGGTTTCATTTTACAAACTCACCAGCAATGCATGAGAGTTCCAATTTCTCCACATACTCACCAACACTTGCTATTATCTGCCTTTTTTATTATAAATCATCCTAGTTGGTGTAAATTGATATCTCATTGTAGTTTTAATTTGCATTTTACTTCGCAGTTAATTTGCAATGTTGAGCATTTTTTCATGTGTTTATTGGCCATTTGTATATCTTCTTTATAGAAGTGCCTATTCAAAGTTCTTTAACTCATTTTTAATTAGGTTGTCTTTTATTATTGAGTTTCAGTGAATCTAGAGATCAATTTGGGGAGAGTTGCTATCTTTACAAAATTGAGTCTGCAGCTCTGTAATACTTTGAAATCGGGAATTGTAATGCCTTTATTTTTATTCTTCTGTCTCAAGATGGCTTTGGCTATTCAGTCTTTTGTGGTTCCATATGAATTTTAGAATTGTATTTTTTTTTTTATTTCTGTGAAAAAAAATTGTTGGGTTTTTCATAGAAATTGTGTTAAATCACTAGATCACTTTTGTTAGTATGAATATTTTTAAAATATGAAATCTTCTAATCCTTGAATATGCAACTGATTTTTATGAGGATTTTATATCCTACAACTTTACTAAATTTATTCATTAGTTCTCACAGAATTTTTGGTGAAAACTTTAGAGTTTCTACATGTAAGATCGTACAAATGAAAAACAGAGATCATTTTATCTCTTTCTGGTTTGAATACCTTTTATTTCTTTTTCTTAAAGTAGTGTGGTACTGGCATAAAAACAGACATATAAACCAAGGAAACAGATTAGAAAGTTCACAAATAAACTGACACATACATGTCAACTAATTTTTGACAAGAGTGCCAAGAATATACAATGGGGGAAAAATATTCTCTTCAACAAATGATGCTGGGAACACTGGACATCCACCTGCAGAAGAATGAAATTGAATCTTTATTTTACACTATACACAAAAATAAACTCAATATAAATTAAACATTTAAACTTAAGATGAAAACTGTAAAAATCTTAAAAGAAAACATAGTGGGGAAATTTCTTGACCTTGGTCTTGGCAGTGCTTTCTTGGTTATGACACCAGAAGCACAAGCAACAAAAGAAAATTAGACAACTGGGACTGCATTAAACTTAAAAGCTCTGAGCAGCAAATAAAATCATCAAAAGAATGAAAAGGCAATCTATAAAATGAGAGAAAATATTTTCAAACCAGGTACCTGGTAAGTTAAAATCCAAAATATATAAGGATCTCATACAACTGAATAGCAAAATAATAATAATCATCATCTAATTTTATAATGGGCAAAGTACCCAAATAGATATTTTTCCAAAGAAGATATATACATGGCCAACAGGAATACAAAAAGGTGTTCAACACCACTTATCATCAAGAAAGTGCAAAACAACAATGAGATATCACCTCACATCTGTTACAATGGCTATTACTTAAAAAAATAATAATAACAAATGTTGGCAAATATATGGAATAAAGGGAACCCTTATACACTTTTGACGGTAATGTAAATAAGTATAGCCATTATGAAAAGCAGTATGAAGGTTTCTCAAAAACTTAAAATTAGAACTACCATATAATCTAGCAATCCCACTTCTGATTTATATCCAAAGGAATACAATCAGAATGTTGACAAGATATCTGCACTCCCATATTCATTGCAGCATTATTCACACTAGTCAAGATACGGAAACAAGTGTCCATCAGTTCATGAATGGTTAAAGTAATTGTGATATATATATATATAAAACATATATCATATAAATAATATATATAATTGAATATTATTTAGCCTTAAAAAGAACCATTTGCAACAACATAAACAAACCTGAAGGACATTATGCTAAGTCAAGTAAGCAAGAAACACAGACAGACCAATACTGTATGATCTCATTTATATGTGAAATATAAAAATGTCAAGCTCAAAGAAGTAGATAGTATAATGGTGGTTGCCAGAGGATAAGGGAGGGGGAATGGAGAGGTGTTGGTCAAAGGGTACAAACTTTCAGTTATAAAATGAATAAGTTCTGGAGACTTAACGTACAGCATGGTGACTACAGTTAATAATGTATTGCATACTTGACATTTGCCAAGAGAGTAGATCTCAAGTGATCTCACCACACAAAGAAAGAGAAACTATGTGAGTTGGTGGTTATGTTATCTCACGGTGATAATAAAATCACAATGTATATTATATCAAAACATCATATTGTACCTTAAATATATGCAAAAGTCATACTCTTAATAACAGAAAGAATGATGGTTGCCTGGGGATGAGAAGTAGAGGAAATGGAGAACTGTTGGTCAAAGGTTCAGTTATGCAAAATAAATAAGTTCCGAAGTTCTGCTCTACACACAGTACCTATGGATGACAATACTATATTGTAAATTTAAAATTTGCTAAGGGTATAGACCTTATTCTAACTAAGTATTCTTACCACAAATAATAACATTAATAATATTAAAGAAGGTGGGAGAAAGTTTTGGTAGGTGATGGATATGTCTATGACCTTGATGGTCATGACAGTTTCATAGCTGTACACTTGTCCCCAAACTTTATCAAGTTCTATACATTAAATATGTACAGTTCTTTACATCTATCATATCGTGATAAAATGGTTTAAAACTAAATTAAATAAAATGTCTCTTTATTAAAGTATTGCAACTAAACAATGAAAAGGACATGATATAATTACTATATTACCAATGTGCAACTCCATTGCATTAATGAATCTAGCCATTGAGCATTAATAACTGCTATCATCTCCAAAATAAAGATAACCAGGCATTAAGGGTCTCCTTATAAAACACACACACACCAATACATTGCAGCTAGCTAAAAGAATCAAACATGAGTCTGATCCAGTCTTTGAATCATGCTGCCAATTTCTGAAAATACAGAGGACACAGAAACATGTTGAATTCTCCAAGAGTATGCAATCAAAAAATATCAACTGTGGGGAACACTACAGATTAAACATCTCAAGTTCTTCAATATAAAAAATACAAGAAAAGAATTTGGGGAGGACCTGTAGATTTAAAGGGAATAGCAAACATTGTGATGAGAAAAAACCTAAAATGTAATGTCTAATGGTGAAAATTCAGGTAATAAAACAAATTTTTTAAAGTAAGGAAATGATTACTATAAAACTTAAGATAGTTTTCTTTGTGGGAAAAGGACAGAAGAAAATGCTGAAAGAGAGAGAGAGAGAGAGAGAGAGAGAGAGAGAGAGAGAGAGAGGGAGGGAGGGAGAGAGAGAGATATCTGGGAACCAAAGTAAGAGATTATGGTTTATAGGATCTTGTGCAGATCTCAGAAACTTCCTCAGTAAACGAGACATGGTTTGAGGCCTAAATACACCAGAAAGTTGGAACCAAGACCCAACTCCCTCTGTCCCCTTCTCATTCTCTATTGGTGATATTTTTTTTTAATAATCTAAGAAAGTAAAGGGAATAAGAAATAACTTCTCCATTTTCCAACCACGATATAGCTTTTAATTTTAGCTTACTCTACCTTCTCTTGATTTTCTGATTTAAGGCTAACCTTTCCTCTTGTGCACTGAATTTTATCCCCACTAGCTGTTTAAAAACTTCACTCTTGAAATTAAACATTCTTTCTTCCATCATAAATCCTCACCCCTAAATGGATGTTTCATTTGAGGCAGGAATATGCTGTAACAGTTCTCATCAAAAACCTTTCCCCTTTTCAGCTACTTCCTCATATACCTACTCTCTTATAGAAAAAAATACTCATTTATCTTTATTCACTATCTCCACTTTTTTCTCTACTACAATTTTTTTGTTATTTTTTCTGGGCAAGTTCTTTATTGTTGTTGTTTCAAGTTATTATGAAATACTTTCAACATTAAAATATAAAAATAACTAACATAACACAATATGATGTTTTCTCTTTTCAAAGCCAGCTTAGTTTTTAACAGCAGGTGTTCTTCAGCATCCCATACATGCAGAATGAAGTGCAATCCCAAAGAATTTGCTGTTAGATACTGTGATGACTGGCGCATCTGCTGCAAAATAAAGGCACTTGATTTGAAGAGAAGAAAGAAGTGGTGAAAAGTCCAACTCCACCTTCTTCAAACTAAAAATGAATAAGATCCCTTTGTCTATATAAGAATAATTAATATGATAGATAATGGAAATTCATAATAATTCTGTTGAAATGATCAGGTTAAAGTAAATATAAATTTAATAAAGGCTTACACTCTATTTTCGTGTGTGCACTTTTACATTAATGTTCTCAGTTTACATCCACAGCCACATTGCTGTTTCAATAGTACTATAACCCAGCCCCACCACTTATTAACTTTTTAACTTTGGGCAAATTCTTTAGTCTCTCTCTACCTCAGTTTCCTTACTTATGAAGTGGGGTGTGAGGATTATATGCATTAATATACATAATTTTTTTAATTTGTCTTTGTTGTTGAAAGTATTACAGATGTGCCCTTTTTTCCCCATTGACCCCTCTATCCAGCACCCACCCCCGCACCAGGCCTTCACCACACTATTGTCTGTGTCCATGGGTTGTGCATATATGCGTATAAATTCTTTGGTTAATCTCTCTCCACCGTCCCACCCACCCCCACCTTCCCTCTGAGAGTCATCAGTACATAAATTCCTAAGCAACACCTAACCCCAGTGTAAACTCTATATGTGTTAATTATAATTTCATGGACCAGAGAATGTGATCTGGTCCATGATTTACTAAATCATTCATTGTGGTCTAAGGTAAATTGATATTTATTAAAATTTCCTGTGGTTTTGAAAATAAGGTATATTTTCTGTTTCTGAGATAATACAATCTTACATAAGCACAACATACTTACGCATTATTATATTTTGGTAATCTAGGACCCGTATACTGGCAGTGAGCACTAAGAAGAAAAAGGAGAGTCAGATGGATTTCAGAAAGAGGACTGACAGAATTTAGCAGCCATATAATATAATGAGGAAAAGGTACAAAAGGTGATCCTGAGATTTCAAAGTTGGCAAAGAGATGATTGGCAATATAGCTCACTAAACTAGAGTCCAGAGATAAAGCAGGTTGGGAGCATGGGGAAAGTCAATAAAGAGATGTTTTGGCATAATATAATTTTGGCATGAAGGGATATGATTATCAGTCCACTAAGCTCATTTGTAAAAGTATAACTTAATTTTTTTAATAAATGAACTTAATTTCTATTATGAACCTCATTCTGCCTGGTCACAGAAACTGAAACATAGTTAACTCAGAGTTGTTCCTTTTTTCTCCAAGTTCCAGAGAAGTTAAACAGTGGTGAGGCCTTGATTAAGACATCCCCTTGGCTTGGTCTTCCATCACTAGTCAAGGTATAACTGCTGAGTTGCCTCTCATTCTTAATAAAATTCTTAAAACTCTTTGGGTGAGGCTCATTCCTTAGTGCATAAGATAATTCTGCTACTCATGCATCATTCTGGGTTACCAGAAATTCAGATGGGACTATCTATGGCTTCACCACTTCCATGTCGATCTCAGGCATATAGGGATTATACTACTGCTCCCTTCCCTTGCTGGGGGAACCTGTGTGAGGAAAGGGGAATCAATGCTGTGAGACTATCTACTAAAGAGGACCATGTAATCAATGCTTAGCTATGTTCTTGCCGCCTCTCTGAGCTCCATTTTCATAAGGAAACCCTAGTGTGTCATGCTCTCAGACTTTATGCAGTATTTCTGTCCTCCATTAACCTATGCTATTTTCCTCCTCTCCCACTATATAAATCCCAGAACTGAAGATAGAAACAGTGACCCATCACAATCTAAGCTGTCTTTCTTCCTTTACTCCTATACTCTCCTTCTGCCTCTACCTTATTCAAAACTTGGTTTAGGAAAGGAACCATTCCCTTAAATCATCTGCATTCTCCAAATCTGTCATAAAATCTGAATCCAAGAGCTCCTGCCAGTGCCCAAGAGCACATAGTTTTGAGATGAGGAATCCTGCTCTTTGTTTCTCTCTTTTTGAGGGGAAGGTACACCACCAACCACCAAAAGCTAGAAGAAAAACACAGAACAGATTCTTCCTTAAACTTTCAGAAGGAAACAACACTGCCAAAACCTTGATCTCAGACTTCTAGTACCCAGAACTATGAGACAAAACATTTCTGTTGTTTAAGCCATCCAGTTTGTGGTAATTTATTATGGCAGCTCCAGAGAACTAATACACCATACTCCTTTTTTTTTTTTACTTCTTTATTTTTATTTATTTATTTTTCTTATTTTTTTATTGACTTTATCTTTATTGTTGAGACCATTACAGATGTCCCCCTTTTAACCCCACTGATCCCCTCCACCCCATATCAATCCCACCCCCAGGCCCTCCCCACACCAATGTCCATGGACCATGCCCATAAACATACAAGTTCCCTGATTAATCTCTCCCCACCACACACACACCCTACCCTCCTTCCCCCTGAGATCCCTCAGTTTGTTCCAAGCTTCTATGTCTCTGGATCCACTTTGTTCATCAGTTTATTTTGTTTATTATATTCCACATATAAGTGAGGTCATTTGGTACTTGTCCTTCTCTGACTGGCTCATTTCACTTAGCATAATACTCTCTAGTTCCCTCCATGCTGTGCCAAAGGCGAAAAGGTCCTTCCTCTTCACAGCCACATAGTACCCCATGGTGTAAATGTGCCACAGCTTTTTTATCCACTCATCTACTGATGGACAATTGGGCTGTTTCCAGATCTTAGCTATTATAAATTGCGCTGCTGTGACCATAGGGGTGCATAAGTTCTTTGTGATTGGAGTTTCGAGTTCCTTAAGATATATTCCTAGAAATGGGATCACTGGGTCAAATGGCAGCTCCATTTTTAATCTTTTGAGGAAACTCCATATTGTTTTCCATAGTGGCTGCACCAGTCTGCATTCCCACCAGCAGTGGACTAGGGGGCCCTTTTCTCCACACCCTCACCAGCACTTGTAGTTCGTTGACTTGTTGATGGAGCCATTCTGACAGGTGTGAAGTGATACCTCACTGTGGTTTTAATTTGCATCTCCCTGATGATTAACGACGTTGAGTATTTTTTCATATGTCTTTTAGCCATTTGTATGTCCTCTTTGGAGAAGTGTCTATTTAGGTCCAGTGCCCATTTTTTAATTGGATTGTTTGTCTTCTTTTTGTTAAGTTGTATAAGTTCCTTATATATTTTGGATATTTACCGTTTATCCGATGTGTCATTGTCAAATATGTTCTCCCATACAGTGGGCTCCCTTTTCGTTTTGTTGATGGTTTCTTTTGCTGTGCAGAAGCTTTTTATTTTGATGAGTTCCCATTTGTTTATTTTCTCCTTAGTTTCTCTTGCCCTAAGAGATGTATCAGCAAACATATTGCTATGAGAGAAGTCTGAGATTTTACTGCCTATTTTTTCCTCTAGGATTTTTATGGTTTCATGTCTTATATTTGTCTTTTATCCATTTTGAATTTACTTTTGTATATGGTGTAAGTTGGTGGTCCAGTTTCACTTTTTTGCATGTATCTGTCCAATTTTTCCAACACCATTTATTGAAAAGATTGTCTTTACTCCATTGTATGTTGTTGCCTCCTTTGTCAAATATTAATTGACCATAATAGTATGGGTCAATTTCTGGGCTCTCTGTTCTGTTCCACTGATCAGTATGTCTGTTCTTGTGCCAGTACCAGGCTGTTTTGATTACAGTGGCTTTGTAGTATAACTTCATATCTGGTATTGTGATCCCTCCAACTTTGTTCTTCTTTCTCAGGATTGCCATGGATATCCTGAGAAAACACCCTGGGGTGTTTTTTGGTTCCATATAAATTTTTGAAGTGTTTTTTCTAGATTTGTGAAATATGTTGTTGGTGTTTTAATAGGAATTGCATTGAATTTATAGATTGCTTTGGGTAATATGAACATTTTAATGATGTTAATTCTTCCAATCCATGAACATAGTATATTTTTCCATTTGCTTATATCTTCCTTTATTTCTTTTTTCAGTGTCCTGTAGTTTTCTGAGTAAAGGTCTTTTATGTCTTTGGTTAAGTTTATTCCTAGGTATCTTATTTTTTTAGTTGCAATGGTAAATGGTATTTTTTTTAGTTTCTCTTTCTGAAAGTTCATTATTGGTATATAAAAATGCCATCAATTTCTGGGTGTTAATTTTGTATCCTGCTACCTTGCTGAATTAAATAAATTAGATTTAATTTATTAAATCTAGTAGTTTTTTGGTGGAGTCTTTAGGATTCTCTATGTACAATATCAGGTCATCTGCAGTTAATGATAGTTTTGTTCCTCCTTTCCAACTTGGATGCTTTTTATGTTTTCTTTTTGTCTGATGGCTGTGGCTAGGACTTCCAATACTATGTTGAATAGGAGTGATGAAATTGGACACCCCTGTCTTGTTCCTGTTCTTAGGGGAAAAGGTTTTAGTTTTTGCCCATTGAGTATGATGTTGGCTCTAGGTTTGTTATATATGGCCTTTATTATGTTGAAGTATGACCCCTCTATTCCCACTTTGCTAAGAGTTTTTATCAAAAATAGGTGTTAGATTTTATCAAATGCTTTTTCTGCATCTATTTATATGATCGTGTGATTTTTATCTTTCAATTTGTTTATGTGATGTATCACGTTTATTGATTTGCAAATATTGTACCAGCTTTGCATCCCTGGAATAAATCCCACTTGGTCATGATGTATGATCTTTTTAATATATTGCTGGATCCAATTTGCTAATATTTTGTTGAGGATTTTAGCATCTATGTTCAGCAGGGATATTGGCCTATAATTCTCTTTCTTTGTAGTGTCTTTATCTGGTTTTGGAATCAGACTAATGCTGGCCTCATGAAAAGAGTTTGGAAGTGTTCCTTCCACTTGGATTTTTTGGAATAGTTTGAGGAGGATAGGTGTTAATTCTTCTTTGAATGTTTGGTAAAACTCCCCTGTGAAGCCATCCAGGCTGGGGCTTTTTATTTATGTTTTAATTAAATTTACTGGGGTGATGTCAATGTAAGAAACATCCAAACCTGTAAGAATTTTTATGAGTTTATTTAAGCCAAACTGATAACAATTGCTGGGAAACA